TTTTCTTTCATAGTCTCATTGAAATAAAATTCCATAGTTTGTCGATCCTTTTAAGTATCTCAGGATTTTTCTTGCAGCTTTCATGTGTGACACCATTAGTTCACTCATATATCTGCTCACTAATCCGACTGAGAAACATATACCAGGTTGACTATTGTAGGTGTATCTTAGAGATCCTACAATTTGTTTGAACAAAGTTGCATCGACTTTGTCTTCCTCTCCATGATTCTCCAACTTCAAATTTGATTTGATAGGCAAAGATGCAGGAGTCGAATCATCCATTTTGAATCTCTTAAATATCTTTTTGACATACTTTCTTTGATGTAGCACCATACCTTTTTCGAAATTTGAAATTTCATGCCTAGGAAATATGACATTTCAAATTCCTTTTTCATAAGCTCTTTGAACTTCGACAAGTTCTTCAGGCTACTTTCAGTTACTAACAAGCCATCGACATATAAACATATGATTGTTATATCTTGTGCCACAACCTTAACATAGACCTCATACTCATATTTGCATTTGACAATTCCCAATTCGAACAAGTATGAGTTGATCTTCTTGTTACATGCCTTAGGTGCCTGCTTGAGACCACGGAGCCCTTTGTGCAACTTGTATACTTTACTTGTTTCCCCCTGAATCACAAATTCAGGAGGTTGTGTAACATACACCTTTTCATCTAAAGGTTCATTCAAAAATATTGATTTCACATCTAAGTGAAATGTCGATCAGCCTTGATTGCATGCCAAGGCTACCACGAGTCGAACAATTTCCAATCTTGCCACAGGTGCATATACTTTAGAGCAGTCGAGTCATGCTCTCTAAAGAAATCCTTGAGCTATCAATATCGCCTTATGTCTTGCTATCGACCCATCAGCATTGTGCTTCAACTTGAACACTCATTTCACTTTGATGGCTTTTGTATGTGCTAGAAATTTGACTAACTCCCATATGTTGTTTCTTTCGATTGCTTGTAACTCTTCGACCATAGAAGACTTCTAGTGTTTATCTTTAGAGGCTTCAATATATTTGATTGGTTCAGCACCTGCAAGTAAAGCAAAATGAACTACTTCTCCATCTGTTGTGACTTCATCATCACCAACCACTTCATTGTCTTGAAGTTTTTCTAGACGAGCTCTAGTTCTTTGAGGTCTCTGGCTTGTTCCATCCATATCTTCTTCGATTTCAAATATGTGGGGTGTCAGCAAGAACTTCCACTTCAACTGGAATATTATCAATATCTTCGACTTCGATATCATTACTTACTTCGTCAAAATCATAACTCATCAATGGCTTGTTAATTGGATCACCGGAATTCCAATCCTATGCAGAGTTCTCATCAATGACAATGTCTCGACTCATCACAATCTTCTGATTAATTGGATTAAACTACTTGTATGCTACAGTCTTAGGATATCCTACCAGAATCATAGGTTCACTCTTATTATCAAGCTTCCTTCTCCTATCATCAGGAATATGCTTGTAGCAAATAAATCCAAACACCTTCAGATAACTCACTGATGGTTTTTTTCCACTTCACACTTATTCATGAACCTTGTTCTTCAGCTTCTTCGTTGGACACCTGTTCAGAATATAAACAGCAGCCGAAACAGCTTCACCCAATAAGGACTTTGGCAAATTCTTATGCTTCAACATGCATCTCGTCATGTCCATTATGATTTTGTTTCTTCTTTCTGCTATTCGATTATGTTGAGGAGTATAAGGAGCAGTTACTTCATGATCAACACCATGTTCTGCACAAAATGCTTCAAATATCTTGGATGTGTATTCTCCACCTTCACATGTTCGCAGAACTTTGATCTTCTTCTTACTCTGGTTTTCGACAAGCATCTTGAATCTCTTAAGAATTTGAATACTTTGTCCTTTCTCTTGATCACATATATCCACATCTTTCGACTAAACTCATTGAAAAATAAAGCAAAGCACATGTTTCCACCAATTTTATGCTCTTCAAAAGGACGACATACATCTGAATGTACAGCTTTGAGTATGCAGGATGATCTCATTGGCATAGTCAAAACGAAAGACTTCCTATATTATTTTTCGAATACACAAGCTTCACAAAGCTTTCCAGGCATCTCAAGATTTGGTATACCAGTTACCATATCTTGAGTGATCAATTGATTGAGTGACCTAAAGTTTAGATGACCAAACCTCGGATGCCAAAACCAATTATTCTTGTGGTCGACAACTATTTTCAAACATTGTACCTCTACCGAACTGATCATAGTCTTAAATATTCTATTCTTCGACAGGGGAGATTTCAAGACTAAGTTATTCTTGATGTCAAAAGTTCTAAGGCTCCATCTTTCATAATCATTGAGAAACCTTTTTCGACCAGTTGTCCAACACTTAGCAGATTACACTTCATTCTAGGTACATAGAGTACATCTTTGATCATAGATTTTCCTTTATTACTCCTTTGAATAACTATGCCGCAAGTATCTTTTGCCTGCAATGAGAAATTATTAGCAAGTTTGACCTTGCTCTTCTTCGACTCATCGAAATCTACTACCCATGCTTTTTGACCAGTCATGTGGTTCGAACAGTCTGAGTCGAGAAATCAGATTTTGGATTCGACATGGTCATCTACAACTACAGCCATAACTACCATATCATCAGAACCGTCTGAATCTTGACGTGCAAGGTTCGCTCCTTCGTCCTTGCCTTTTGTCGATCCATTGTCTTTCCTGTACCAACAATGCTTGGCCAAGTGACTCCATTTTTCACAGTTATAGACTGCACACCTTCTTTTCTCTACTTTGTCTTTCTAATAGGAATTTCCTTCTCCACTTTTCATGGATTCCGAAGTTCTACCATCGATCTTATTCTTGTGAGGGTTCGACCAAGACTTCTTGCCTCGAGTCTTGTCGATTTGCTTTTGAACTTGTTGGAACCACCATTCTTATTGCATGACTGAGTCTGTAGTGCTTGTATCGAGTCTTGAAATCCTTTCCCTTAGACAATATTAATCTTATGTTCCTCCAACGAACCAACCAAATCTTCCAGTTTTAGGGTTTCAAGATTGTTGGATTCTTGAATAGTGACGATAATATGATCAAAGTGAGAGGTCAACGTACACATTACCTTCTCAACTATCATCTTATCAATTAGGGTTTCACTATAACCTTTCATGAGATGGACGAGTTTTTGCATCTTTAACACATAACATGCAATCTTTTCGTCTTCTCCCATTGACAACAGTTTAGATTATCGTCGCAAAGTTTGCAACTTGAAAACCTTAACTTTTCCGTCTCATTCATAGTACTTGATAAGAATATCTCATGCCTTCTTCTCCGATTCAGCATGAGCAACTCTGTTGAAACTAGCTGCAACCACCAATTGAATGTAAAACACTATCTTGCAATCCTTCTTCTTGGAATACTTGTGAACGGTTCTCTGTGCATCACTTGCATCTTCACCAAGCACAGAAACAACGTTAGTAACCGCTTCTAGGTTTTCATGAAAGCCAAAAAGAGTTTGCATTTGTTTTCTCCATCGAAGTCAATTCTTGTCGCCAAGATTTGGAAGGGAGTTTGATAAATTTCTGTTACCATTCATCTTTGCAGTGATTGATCAACAACAAACCACGATCCCGAAAATACGATCTCTTAAGTGCGATTCTTAAAAATAAGATCAAGAATCTAACATGAACTCTAGATACCAATTTGTTAATGCGTGAGACGCCTTTAGTGAGGAGAGAAAAAAAGAGAATAAGGAAAATAATGATTGATATTATTGAATGAATAAAACTGAATTACAAAGTGTCTACATATATACACCTAAGAGACTTGACTACTAAGTAAAATAACAAACTAAATAACAAGTTTTAAACCCTAATTAGCTTTGGGTTTGGGTCACATAATTTAACTTGGATTATATCTAATATCTCAACATCTATGAACTCTGATTATTTTTAGAGCGAAGAATAACTATAATTGATCTGGAACAAGAATGGTAGTTAGAGTTGTTCAGGGGAGGAGAAACAATGACGAGTTCAGGATTGTCGCTAGGGTGCATGAAAAATAACCAAGCATATTAATTTGGTAGTTTCAATTAGGGTTTGTGTTTGAAGCAATGTTGGTGGATTTTTCGTAAAATAATTGATAGATTGTGATGGGTTAGAGAGTTGTGGTGGTTGAGGGGGGTGGGGAAGGTGAATCTTCATATATGATATCATTAATGGTGATCATTGTTGAAGGTTCTAAAATTGTTCATTGGAGACGAAGAAATAAGGGTTTTCATGAAAGAGGAAGAAAGATTTTGGTAAAATAAGGATAAATTTATTGCAATTGTACGAAAAAAGTAAGAAAGGATATAGAAGTAATCTGCAAAGTGAATCAAATGAGAACACGTAAAAGAAAATATAAGATTTGATATCATAACAAATTTTTGTAGAAATGAGTTAGATCCAATCACAATTTTTAACATGGTATGAAGAGTTTCGTTTAAGATCTAGTTGGCCGGCTATCAGATTTTCGCTATCAAATTATCCACCATTTACTTTCATGCTTTCTGTCAAGTTCTAAACATGGAGGATTGTTAAGAGTTTCATATCAAATAATATATAATTGAACATATATTTATAAGTAAAGTCAATTTTTACCCTACAAATCAATTTTATAAAATTGAGTTAGATCCAACTACATTTTCTTAACTTAGAAAACATGCGTTATAAATAAATCTAAAAACCTAACAATTTTCTCTAACAAGCATTAGTCATATTACTAACTCTTTTAAACCTAAAAACCAAATCGAATGATCACATTGTAAAATTTTTCAAAATTTGACGATTAATTAATCTTTTGACATATATGTTTCTTAAGGTAAGAAAGATTTATCCAATGAACATTTTATATCACATTTTTAAATAATTATTTATAATAATTCAATATAATTCAATCATTTTAAGGTAAAATATGAAGATAAAGTGTTAAGTTTGACGAGTGTATGCGGTGGTGGGTGAAGTTGAGCATAAAATGTCGACGATGAACACTCAAACGCTAATTTTGAACTCAACTTCACCTCTAACTTCTTTGTCACTAACAAGAATCATCACAATCTATGCTCCAAATTCAGTTAATAAAGTTGTTGGAGTTGGAACAAGAAGAAGAAGAAAATGGAATATGGCAGTTAGTAAACCAGTTACAACTACCACGCGTTTCGATGATAACAACGTTGTAGATTCAGCTTCAACAGTGTTGAGAAATTTCTATGAAGGAATCAATAGACATGATGTGGATTCTGTACAGTTTCTTATATCTGAAAATTGTGTGTACGAGGATCTTGTCTTTCCTAGTCCCTTTGTCGGTCGTAAGGTGATTTATGGAAATTTTGTTTTTGGTTAAATAATTGATTATGCAGATTGGTTTCTGAATTGTTGTTAGTACTTTTTTTACAGAAAATTATAGAGTTCTTCAAGAAGTTTACTGAATCTACAAGCATAGATCTGCAGTTTGTTATTGATGATTTGTCTACGGAGGATTCATCATCCGTTGGAGTGATTTGGCATTTAGGTGCATTTCATATTCTATTTGAAGTGTTCTTTATATCTATAGTTTTGGGATTCTATATAGCAAAGTTGTATGATGTAGATCACAATTTAGGTTTGATACAGTATGGAGACTACTGCATCAGCAATATTACGGCCGCAATTGTGGTTGCAGGTGTTATGTATTATTAACGTTTGTTATTGCTTGCAGAATGGAAAGGAAAACCTTTTCCGTTTAGCAAAGGATGCAGTTTTTATCGTTTGGAGGTGATTAATGGCAAGAGACAGATAACGTAAGTAATGATACTTTTGTGTTTGATGTGTGCATTAACAAGACGAGAAAGTGGTGGTATGTTTATATAACATGCTCTGAAACTGGTTGTATTTTCCCGTAAACAGATACGGGCGAGACAGTGTTGAACCCGCAATCAAGCCAGGGGATGCAACATTGGTATGTGAATTTTTCTTTATCAGCAATGCTATTGAATACTGGAAAATTATCATGCTACTCTGTGCTCTGAAAATTGTTCTTTATATGCAGGTACTGATAAAGGGTGTGACATGGCTTCTTCAACGATTTCCTCAGTTGGCAGACCGATTCTAGTGAATGCTCTATTTTATTTTGGAATCTGATTGTAGTCTGGATCATGTATAACACATAAGATTCTCTCTGGCAGAAAATGTGAAAGTGTTGTATATATATATATGACAGAGTATTATTAAAAAAAATAGCACAAGAATTAAAAATATTAATATCAAATAATATTAGGAAAATCACATGGATTCTAAATTCTAAAGCCTTCACTTGTCACGGTGTAAAATTACATCAGGAAAATGAGAATAAAAATAGTATAAACATTAAAAAATAAGAGATTTACAAATCAGTACACCACAGCTTCTGTCCCAGCAAAATGGAAGAAATGCAACAACTTTACTAAGATATCACTGAGGAATTACCGGTCGATCTACATATGTTCACGCGCGTGGAAATTTTGCAGCTATAAAGGGTCGTCTCGAACGTTCCAAGGCCGAGATTTATTTTGGGAGAGCGTAGTTGTAGAGTCTTGATTCCTACTTCCATAGCTACTTTGAGAATCATTAAAGAAACTGGAACTGTCTTGGCTTCCGAAAGCCATCCTCCTAAACATTTTGATCTGTGCAGATTGTTGTGCAGAATCAAACACTGAACTCTGCCCCGGTTTCATTCCGTTATTCAGATCCGAAAACTCGGCCATGGAATCAAAAGCTCTCATAACCTGGAAAATTATGATTAACAAGCCAGAGCATGTGCAGCAAAGTTAGCATCTTCAAAATCAAATGGACAAATATATGGCAACGGCGTGTGATGCAAGTTACCTGACTCATCCGTGGCCTCTTAACTGAGGAGTGACGCACGCAGGCTGCAGCAGCCTCGATCATTCTAAACATTTCGTTTCTGTTGTAGTTCTTTTCCAGTCTTGGATCCACCAAAGTTTCAAAGTCCTCGGTGTCGAGTGCTTCAATCAACAGAGGCCGAGCCTGGAAAGAAGTTTCGTAATTGTTATAATGAGCAATTTAATCTGCTTGGGACCTCTATAAGGTTTTCTTTGATCCTGCACAATGGAATCACACAACCAGGAACAACTTCGCAGTTTTACTAGTGTATTTCTTTATTTTGCGAGGGGAAACGGTATTCTGGCGTTATTGTTTGTAGTAATTAACGACTCTATTTAAAACTTGAACCTATTGTTACTGGAAATGTGTGACTCACCCATTCAACCAGGCTCTCATCACCGATTGGCTGAGAGGCATCTACAGGCTTCCGACCTGTAATTAGCTCCAAAAGCACAACACCGAAGGAATATACATCAGACTTATCTGTCAATTTTCCACTCGTTGCATATTCTGGTGCCATATACCTGCCAATTCAGAACAAATTATTCAATTATATATGCTCAGAATGATAACATTGCATACTTTAGTGTTATCAATATTCAAATGATTCAATATCAGCAACAAGCAGGAAATAGAAATGAAGCCTGTTTGGATTGACTTATTTGAGTTTATCTACAGAAATAAGAATTTTGGAGACTTTCAAGAAGATCTTATGAAAACAACTTATGAAAAGCTTATTTTCATACATAAACAGAAAAATATGTAACAGAGGTTTAACCTACCCAAATGTTCCCATTACACGTGTAGTTACATGTGTGTTTGAATCCAACGCTAATTTCGCAAGCCCAAAATCTGAAACCTGTTGGCCAAATAATATCAATAAAATAAAAAGTCCCAATTAGAAAAGGCAAAGAAACATCAACTCGGAGATGCTCGGCATAAGCTGTCTGTCATTTAAAAATGAAACAATATACAAAGCACACAATACTTAAAAAAATTATGAAATATTCTGCATCAGAGGTGTAGATTATAAAAGAGGCTTACTAGAGCTTCAAAGTTGTGATCGAGAAGGATGTTTGATGACTTAATATCTCGATGAATAATGCGTGGATGACCTGAAAAATAATCAAATAGAAATAGGATGAAAACAATATGCTATAAAAACCAAAAGGATCAAGCTTAGAAACACAAACAATTCTAAATTTGCGATTGACGACAACGGAACCACCTCTGATGCATTTTGATTGTGTTTGAAAAATATCAGAAGAATTACACGAGCATAGTTTAAAGAAAAATGTGCATTAAGAAAGGGTCTAAGCTAAAAGGAACATGTAGTACCATGGAAAATCCACATCTTCTTCGGATAACTTTAATCTGAGAGAAAAAGAAACTTACAGTCTTCATGTAAGTAAGCTATTCCACGAGCTGCACCAGCAGCAACCTTAACTCTGATAGGCCAATTCAAAATGGGTGCTTTTTCATCTGTAAAAAATTAAATTACTGATCATGTTTTAGATCGAAATTTAGATGGACACAGTTCATACATGTTCAATTTCCTTTTTCCGCCGCTATCTTGATGAGTGTGACACAGCATAGATATGATCAAGAGTTCAGAATACACATTTAAGTTTGTTTTAAACTTCTAAGCAATTTTTAATGATAGCAATGAAAATAAGGGACAATGGTGCTTAAGTCACGCGCGCACACACACTTCAGTGTCCCTTGATGTCTCCATGTTGGTGTATGTGCTTCATAGGTCTCGGAGGTGAAGATTTGTGATGAAATTCTTATCAATTCAAACCACTTAATCATAGATATGTATCTTACCATGTAGATGATAATGAAGAGTATCGTTGGGAACAAAGTCGTAGACGAGCAATCTTTGATGCTCAGATATACAGTAACCAACCAAAGAAACCAGATGACGATGATGTACTCGACTAATAGTCTCAACTTCTGCTCTGAACTCACGTTCCCCTTGTCCACCGCCAATTTTAAGCTGTTTTACGGCTACTTCTCTTCCATCTAGCAAACCTTTGTAGACACAACCAAATCCACCTTCTCCCAACAAATTCTGCTCTGAAAACCCATTTGTAGCTTGGATTAGTTCTTCATATGTTAACCATGATCTTGAATTATTTACTCCACTTGGCTCCGGTGGTGAATACACAAATTCACTACCATTGCCACTCCCATTCAGATTGGCTGGAGGGTATGGCTTCAAGAACAAGGTACCTATAGGAGAATATCAATGTTTAAAAACAAATATCGTAGCATCCATTTATACATGTAATTGTCACTGAACTTTTAACAGTTACTATAAACATGTAGAAGTTATATAGTGCCTTTCAATTTAAATATAAAGCAGCTAAATAGTTTCCGGTGCAAAATGCAATACCTGAATTGTGAGATGAGGTAAATGGAGAAGGCGCAGCATAATCAGATCTGGATGCTTTTCCCTTCTTCTTTTTCTGTACAAAGCACACAGCCAAACCAAGAAGGCCGAGGACAATTAAACTAACTACAACACCAATAGTAACAGCTGCTCCGGTATTTAACCCTCCTGAATGTGAAGGTCTGTTGTTTGTGGCTATATTATTAGAACCATCAACACTTGGTCTCAATGGCAATGGCACAATTGGACTGCCACCAGGTACTGTTTCGTTAGTAGGAAGACGAGGCAAAGGGGCTGGAGGTGCTGCAGGTCCTGAAGTGAGAGTCGATGGCAATGGGGATGGAGGTGGGACAGTTGAAGGGGAAGGAGGTGATTGAGAAACAGATGGAGGGGATGCATCATGTGAAGGAGGTGGTTGAGAAACTGATGGAGGGGACGCATCAGGTGAAGGAGGTGAAGGAGTACGTTTTGGTGGCTTTGCGTGTGGTGCCGGAGGAGGATTGGCAGATGGTGGCTTTGATACTTTATCCGGAGGAGGAGGTGGAGGTTGAGACGGCGAAATTGTTTGAGAAGGCGGTGGCTTTGATGATTTAGGAGGAGGGGAATTAGTTGCTGGGGGCGGTGGAGACAAACTCGGAGGCGAAGGTGAAGTTTCATCTGGAGGAGGGGCAGTGTTAACTGGTGGAGGAGGGGAGGTGGTAGCTGGTGCAGGAGGTGGTGATGTTACAACCGGTGCAGGAGGTGGTGATGTTACAACTGGTGGAGGTGGTGATGAACGTGGCGATGGTGGTGGAGAGCTTGGCGGCGGTGTAGTTGATGGTGGAGGAGAAACGGGTGGAGAAGGAGGAGGAGAAACAGGTGGCGAAGGAGGAGGAGTGACCGGCACAGTCTGTGGAGGAGAAGGAGGAGGAGCTGAAGGGTCAGAAGGAGGAAGAGCCGAAGGGTCAGAAGGAGATGAAGGAGGAGGAGAATTCGATGTTTGATTCAACTGAGAAGAACCAGGTAAAGGTGACGGAGGTGGTGACAAAACAACAACACTAGATGATGGAGACAAAGCAACAGGGGCAGCATTTGGTGAGAGAGTAATTGAAGCCATCACTCACACTACAAAATCTTCCCTCAAATAACACAATGCACCAACAAAAATCACTCACTACATTCCAAAACCCTTCAACAACACTCAAAACTCCAATCTTTCTCCATAAACACAGTAATCACAACATAAAAATTCCAGATCAAACATAAGATTTCAGATCAACTCTTCCACAAGCAAATGCTAAACCCTAGCATCCCAAATTTCAACACCCACAGACTAATTTCAATAAAGCTAGCATTTTTATAGTCTACAGAACCTAACAACACTAAAATCAAAAGTGAAATTCCAGAAATCAATGAGAAATCACAAATTCAGCAATATTTCTGACCTAAATATAAACCTCAAGAACAAAATGCAGCACACCCAGATCTCAAAAAGGCAAATTCAACAATATTTTGTATGATATATGAAAAGGGAGTGGAAAGAAAGTGAGAGAAGAAAAAAATATAATTTAGCAGAAAATAGCAATAGTGGAACATACATAGAGCACGAAGAGAGAACGTGGAGACGACTTTGAGAAGGAAGATGAGCTACACTGTCTGTCACAGGACATGTTAGTCATTCACATTCACATACAGTGGGAAAAAGGCTGTGACCAATTGAAAATTGAAACAGTCAATCATTAACTATTTTATCTTGCTTTTACTTTTTCTTTTCTCTGTAATATCGTCATTTTATTTCTCTTCATTAACTATTTTATTTCTCTTCATCATCATTTTCACCCATCTTTTAAGTATTTCCTTCAATTTTTTCTTCAAAAATCGTCATATATGTCAACTTACATTCATAATATATGTCAACTTACATTCATAAGAGAAATGTCTATTTGATTTATTCGACACTAAAGCTTTCGATGAATATTCGACTCTAGAACACATAGATGTTTGAGCATCTTCAAGAGAGCTTGATTTGTTGGTTAAATGGAGACATTACAGACGGTGAAAGATCAGAAGAATTCAAGGCTTGTTACGGTGTACAACGACAATGGAAAAAATTGTTTTTGGAACTCAGTTAAAACTGACAAAGATTTTCGTATTATGATGCATAATTATGAGAAAATGTCCTAATGGTTGTAATCGCATAAATATGTTGTTTAGTTATTGTATTTGTTTATCTTGTTGTTTAGTTGTTGTTTAAGTTATTGTTTAGTTGTTGTTTTAATTGTTGTAATCGAATGTTTTGATATTTATGAAATGAACGTTGTTATCAATATCAAATAAAAGGTTACATATAAAATTATATTGTGGTGCTTTCTCTATTGTTGGATTTTTTATTGATTTGACTTTGTATGAACCCTTTGATCTTTAATTTTATACAATTGTTTCTTATTTTAAAGCTTTTTATTTGAGATACTTTGTTAAATTGATTTTTGACACATAGAAAATACTGACCCTTAGCCTATGTGTTGGACTTAGGGCAATTGTGAGACTTACGGTAGTTAACTAGGAATAGGAGACTCCGGGTAGTGGCATAGAAAATTAATATTTTATACATCGCCTAATCTTCCTTACGTTGGTGGACTAGCGATAAGAAGCTCCGAGTAGTGATTAATGAGTTATTTTGTGAGGGATCGATTATAATGGCATTGTTAATTCGTCATGGGATTAGAGTGATAAGGTCATTTATACAAGGATTTGATACACAACCTGACCACTTTTATTATTTAGCTTTTAAAACTCTTGTTTGTTTTTCTCACTACAACCTGAACCCCCCCCCCCCTCATTTTACTGATTTCTTTATATTGCACAAATATTTTCGTGTTCGAACATAGTCCATGTGGATTCGGTATTTTATTACTATGACACTATCGATACACTTGTCGAGAAGTCATCAAGTTTTTCGCGATATTTCCAGGGACTATAGATAGCAATAGGGTAACGCTTATGCAAGTTTTATATCATTGCTCTTGATAAGAGGATTTTGATGAAGGTCTATGGAATACCCTTGAGAAAGGTATTGCTATAGAAGTTGATGGTGTATGGATGATCAATGATAGAAAATCTCTTACACCAACTCAGAAGAATCTTTATAGAAATCATCTTGGAGTTAGATGCATTCTGGTAGGTGCTTTATTTTATTCTGAGTGTATCAACATCATTGATACGTCTACTGCTCAAACTATCTTTGAATCTTTGTGTTCTAATTTGAAGGGGATCAGATAGAAGCTTATCTAGTTACATTTCATCTAATCTTTCCAAGAAAATTTCGAGAAGTTTATTGCTATAGTCAAACCAAAAAGTCACAGTTATTCAAGAAATCAGAAATTTGAGTAGACTGAGTCTTGAAGGTTTAATTAGCAATATTCAAAGTAAAGAAATGGAATTAGATGAAAAAAAGTTATCAAAGAGATCACCCGTCCTCAATCCTGTTGAAGAAAATTCTTATGGAATGTCTGATGATGAAGAATTGGCCTTCCTTATCAGAAGATTCTATCAACTGGCTAAATGGAATGTAATATCTATTGATGGAAAAGTAACGTTAAAAGCTTCTGAAATATTCTTATATCAAATGACTTTCCCAATCTTAAGAACAAGGAGAAAAACTACCTGACAGAAAAACCCAAAAAGAAGAATGTTAGAGTGTCGTACCTCAAAAAAATACAATCTCGCGAAGAAAGTTTGTGGGTGGACTAACAGAGAGTTGCCACCAAAATTTATCTATTCCCAAAGAGGAAAAGGGAAAATATCGATAAAACCCACGGATGGAAAAGGATAGGACATGATCGTCGCAACCAATGTCGGGTTTGGAAGTCGGTTATGCAAGGGGAAGATATTAGCACCCCCTACATCTGTTGTACTCAACAAGAACCATCTAGGTTGTCTTCGCGCGAAAGGGTGTCGTTTATCTAAAGGTTTACTTGCTAAATAGAAAATGGAAGGCTTTTTATTATGGCGCTCTCCAAGACTTCGCAGTCTCGTGCCTACGTATCCTCATAGTGTAATAAGGAAATCAGAGCTTCGTAGTTCTGAGTAAAAAATAAGTGTTTGTTGGTTAATTTTACCTTGAAAAAGGGTTTTCGGAGCGATGCCCTAAGGCGCAAAAAGAGTTTGATGAGTTGATGTTGTTTTTAAGATTTTTGAGAGAAACTATTCTTGATTAGAATTGCACTAAAGACTATGGGTAGAGGTGAATATTTCAAATCACCAAGTCAAACGTCTTGTGTTCAAAATATCCATAGTGAGTATAAGAAATCTCTATTCTCACTCATCCATAACTTAAGGCTCGTGGCGCGCAATCCTAATCGTATCTTATTATGTTTTGAACTTGATTAAGAAAAAGTCACTGATGTTGGATCAAGGGTTTGTTTGGTTGATAAAAAGAATGTTTAGGTAAAAGAGAAGGTTGACGGCGATGTAAAAGTAATCGACTTACAAAGGAAGAATGCAAAATGGAGTCTAATTGGTTAAGGGTTGATGGTGATGGAAATGCTATTGAATTTGATTTTTTATGGAAAATGTTCGACTTGGATCAAGTTATTTGTGTTCTTTTGAAAAGTGGGTAATTGATTTTATTCTTGCATTAGAGGCTACCTAGGCAAAAACAAACAAAGAGAAAACGATAAAATTATTACACGTCATGGGAGTGGGGGTAGATTTTTTGGATAGGGATAAGAATAAATAATAAACACACGATCCAAACAATAAACTATGAGTGTACTAGAAAAGTGGGCTAGTCTTTTACGCAACTAATTAGAAGTAATTAATCTAGTAGGTCTCATTGTAAGAAAGCCCAAAAGTAAGCTATGAATATTGTGCAATGTGTCCTAAGACAATGAAATAAATAAGTACAATCCAAGTCTCCTTTGCTAGGGTTTAAGTATAAGCTCCAAAACTCCATGATGCTAGGGATATTAACTATAGTCCAAGCTCAGATGTTTTTTAGGGTTTTTGATCATTTTATCATGTTTTTTTTTGTATTTTTAATAAGATAAGAAAACAAAGAAGAAGATGACATAAAATAAGTGCATGAATGATAAATGATCAATAAAATAAATTGCGAAAAAGTAAATGACGAAAAGTAGATAACAAGAAAATAAAGAGTGGAAATGTAAAAGTTAGATGTTAGTCGTTAATGGTTATTGATTGTATGATCGCTTTCTCGAATTGGGACCAATTTAGCGCTATGTTAAGTAATTGTAGCATGATTTATTAGGAAGGTCATATTATGGGAGGCCGGTCAATAACAATGTTTGTATTAAAACATGTTGTAGATCATTCTCCTAGAGTCATGCCACACAAAAATAAAAACGAAAACGATCTCGTCTTAATCAGGAACTTTGATGATTAATCAAAGGCAGCCTATCACTATCCAAAAGTGTGGATAATGTAGAAGCAAGCTTCAAGGCCTTTATGTTTTGATGAAGACAACTAGTACAAGCTTGGTACGCAAGATATTCTTCGCAAAAAGTAAGAGACGCAAGCAACCAAACAAGAACATCAAAGATCAAGGAAGTACCCTCGCGTATATCTCTACGGATCAAAGCTTCGTCTACAAGCTACAAGTGATGATGATAATTCAAAGGAACGGTATAACATATTTTACTTAAGAATATTTATACAAGTGTTCTTAAAAATCACTTTTCACTTCACAATTATCACTAACACTTTAAAACAATTTTAAAATACTCATTCTTTTAAAATTAAATCATTTTCTAAAAATCTTTCAGTGTTAATCGATTAACAATTTAGTTAACCGATTAACACACTTTAAAATTATGTATTTTGGGATTTTATAACAGTGTTAACTGATTAACCATATGGTTAACCGATTAACACATGTAAATTTCAAATATTTTGAACGTTGTAAAGGTGTTAACCGATTAACCCAATTGGTTAACCGATTAACACTGAAGCAGCAAACAAAAATGGCAGTTGTTCATGGAAAATTGCATTGTTTACCATTCTTCTTACTGACTATTTTTGTTGTACCAAAATTACTCACTTTCTTAAAAATCTGAATTTTCATTCTAAGTGTTCAAAATCATTTTGAAAAAAGCCATT